CTCCATAAGAAGTTTTGTTGAGAGCACAAACAGTTTCAAGTCACTTTAAAGCAAATCAAAAACAACATTGCAATAAATGGCAAGTAACATGCACATTTATAATGTTGCTAAGCCATATTATTCCAGTACACAAACTTAAAAAGGATCATGTTTAAACTTTTTCATCTGAAAAAATAACACAGACATAAAACACCAGCCAAAAAGAGCACACGTCACTCCTCTGTTCATTGAGCTCCACTGGCTACCGCTAGCTTCACGCATCAAATTCAAATTGCTAACACTAGCATACAAAGTCCGAGAATGTACGGCTCCCATCTACCTGAATTCTCTTGCAAAGGCTTACATCTCGGCCCGGCCGCTCCGGTCATCACAGAATCGTCGGCTAGCAGTGCCTACACCACGCTCAGGACAATCCAGACTCTTCTCATGCATCGTTCCACAAATGTGGAATGACCTTCCAAGCACTACCAGAACAGCAGTTTCCTTTTCAATTTTCAAGAAACTCCTGAAGACCCTGCTCTTCAAAGAGCATCTTCTTAACTAGCACCTGCCCTGCACCCGTCCCCCCTCTCTACTGTCCACTCCTTTGTTCCCTCCTCTCCATGATTGATGTCAAGTTGTTGTTATTGTTGTTGTTAGCCTCAAGGGCAATGTGCCGATCATCACTTGTAAGTCGCTTTGGACAAAAGCGTCTGCTAAATACATAAACATGCATAAACAAACAACACACACATGAAAAGCAAAAATAAAAGATGATCCAAAATGACTTTTAGTGGCATGAATTGTTTAAGGCAGGGATTCCCAAAGTGTGGTGCATTATGGCGTTTAAAGCGTGCCACAACCCGTGCACGCGCATTGGGTCCACAGCGCGCGTGTGAACGGGACTCGCGAGCGCAAATATACATGGCAGCGCGCGTGTGAACGGGACTCGCGCGCGTGTGAACGGGACTCGCGAGCGAAAATATACATGGCGAGAGGTCATTTGTGCACTGAGAGGGAGCAAACTGTGTCTGTGAGCGCACAAGGATGTGCACAAGTGACAAACCTGCGTGCGCGCGTTGTCAACGAGCACACGGCAGAGGAAAACGTGCGCGCGCGGCAGCCTCTGTGCGCGCTCGGCAGCCTCTCTGCGCGCTCGGTTTCTGACTCCTGCTCGCTCGGCTGTAAGGGCTTTTGGCACTCTGGAGGCGTGGCCTGTGGCAGATCTTGTCTGTCCTCTGATTGGTTAGTTCACCCCGCACTTTACCCTCTATCTATATAAAAAAGTCTGATGTTCAGTAGTTGCTGGCATAGCTCAGCTGGGAGAGCGGGTGACTCGAGTCCGGGCAAGGAGAATGTAGTAGACGTCATGTTAATTTTTCTTAATTTCAGGTATTTTACAGTTGTGACCGTTCAACTGTCATCAAACGTCCGAATGTTTGCTGGGCAGTGTTTTAAAAAGTGCACATAAGCTAGATGGTTTTAACCATATAAAATTACATTTTTTGTGATACTGGAAAAATACATACTGAAATAAAACTACTGATTGAAAACTTTATGACTGTGGTTGTACAATATATGACTCACTAATACACTGCAAACTCCCTTAGAGTGGGGCTTCCAGAGAGAGAGAGAGAGAGAGAGAGAAGAGAGAGAGAGAGAGAGAGAGAGAGAGAGAGAGAGAGAGAGAGAGAGAGAGAGAGAGAGAGAGACGTTCTTGCCTCATTAATGAATTGTTTATTTTTTTCAGTATTTAATTGACAAATTATCCTTTCAAATAATTAATTGATGAGTTACATAATTGTCCATTAAGAATTGTTGAATGGACTGAGTCAAGTTTGGTGCACTTTATATATTTCAAAACATGTTTTTTTTTATTTTAATGATGCATATAAATAATTTAAATGTTAATTTAATGAAATATTTCTATTTTTTCATTACCTCACCCTTGTTTTGACAAAAATGGGACCTTGCTGGATAATATCATGGAGAAACTATTTGTTCACAGTACATGGCTCAGTGAGGATCTGTGTAAAGGAGGAGATACTCAGAAATCTGTCTGCAGATTGTTACAACCCAGACTGGAAGTGGTGGGCTGTAATAAGAAAGGAGACCAAACAGAGGAGTGGGGGTTCAACAACTGATTTATTTAACAAAAGTAAGGATTTACTAAAGCAAGTTAGTGAACAGAAAATGGCCATCTCAAGGTTTTACTCGGATGTCCCTCAGCAGGGTGCAGCACTGTTGAAGGTCATCTGAATGAAAGCTTGATATGCAGTTTCTTTATGAAATGGACAATTATGTAACTCATCAATTAATTATTTGAAAGGATAATTTGTCAATTAAATACTGAAAAAAATAAACAATTCATTAATGAGGCAAGAACTTTTCTCTCTCTCTCTCTCTCTCTCTCTGGAAGCCCCACACTAAGGGAGTTTGCAGTGTATTAGTGAGTCATATATTGTACAACCACAGTCATAAAGTTTTCAATTAGTAGTTTTATTTCAGTATGTATTTTTCCAGTATCACAAAAAATGTAATTTTATATGGTTAAAACCATCTAGCTTATGTGCACTTTTTAAAACACTGCCCAGCAAACATTCGGACGTTTAATGACAGTTGAACGGTCACAACTGTAAAATACCTGAAATTAAGAAAAATTAACATGACGTCTACTACATTTTCCTTGCCCGGACTCGAACCTGGATCCTCCGGGGCGAGAGTCACCCGCTCTCCCAGCTGAGCTATGCCAGCAACTACTGAACATCAGACTTTTTTATATAGATAGAAGGTAAAGTGCGGGGTGAACTAACCAATCAGAGGACAGACAAGATCTGCCACAGGCCACGCCTCCAGAGTGCCAAAAGCCCTTACAGCCGAGCGAGCAGGAGTCAGAAACCGAGCGCGCAGAGAGGCTGCCGAGCGCGCACAGAGGCTGCCGCGCGCGCACGTTTTCCTCTGCCGTGTGCTCGTTGACAACGCGCGATCGCAGGTTTGTCACTTGTGCACATCCTTGTGCGCTCACAGACACAGTTTGCTCCCTCTCTGTGCACAAATGACCTCTCGCCATGTATATTTTCGCTCGCGAGTCCCGTTCACACGCGCGCGAGTCCCGTTCACACGCGCGCTGTGGACCCAATGCGCGTGCACGGGTTGTGACACGGGTATGACGCGATAGTGCATGCACCCCTGGGGGTGCGCGAGCTGCCGCTAGGGGGCATGTGAGGTGAAAAGTGTAATGGCTGCGGAGCTCAGAGAAGTCTGTCAAAAGTCACCATTAGCGTAGCCAGAAACTCATTTGTGGGTAGGCCTAAGAAAATGTAAGTGGGCCCAATAAACGTAATTGAAAACAAGTATATTTTGCTTGTGTGTGTGTGTGTGTGTGTGTGTGTGTGTGTGTGTGTGTGTGTGTGTGTGTGTGTGTGTGTGTGTGTGTGTGTGTGTGTCCTCCGCACATGCCCTAGCTCAGGGGTCAGCAATCCGCGGCTCTGGAGCCGCATGCGGCTCTTCCATCCATCTGATGCAGCTCTCTGTGCTTGTAAAATAATGAATGGATATTTAAATAAAATGCTTTATATTTTACTGCATACATTTTACATCTGTAAGCTAATTCTAAATGTAAAGATTGTCTGCGTAAACCTGAACAGGTCCAACCCGGTCTACTGTGTGACCGGGATGACGCGTCACACTTGTGTGTAATCATATGCGCTTTATGAGCTGAAGACGATGTGAGATTCTGGGACTCTCCTCAGACGCCGCATTGGAGACAGGATTAAGCACAATTCAGCCAAGTTTCATCATCAGGGAACATTTTCTAAGTGACAAGTCTCTCTGAGAGACCGGGTTTGGAAAACTCTTGTTTCAGTGGAAGGAATATTCCCGCATGCGCTCTGGTTCTGCAAGGCGCTCCAAGCCCCTCTCCTCATCTTCAGCTCACTGTGCAAATATGCGCTGACAGTGAGCTGCGCTGAGCAGTGTCCAGCTCAGATGTTCAGATGGGAATCTTTTCTTGAGTGATTTAGCTACATCTGCGATGTGCGTAGAATAAAATGTCAGTTCGTCTGCATGCGTCGGGGTAATTCTTTCTATTCTTTCTCCGTCAAAATAAACGGTCAAATACGGGAACTATCCAGTCAACACAAGCCCTGCTTTTAACTGTTATGTTTTCTTGTGAAAATTTTTACAAATTTAACTTGATTAATACCAGAGCGAGGCGCACTGCACCGTTATCTCCGTCACTGTAAATGAGGGAAAAACAAAATGATCGGATCCTTTTCTGACCTTCCCCAACTACAAAGTTTAATTACAACAATCAAACGTGACAGAGCCTGGATTTTTTATTCTGAACAGTCTAAACAGGTTTTAAAAAGAAACGTATGACAAAAGTGGCACCTGCTCAGTAAAACCACCAACAGGGTGAAAAATATCAAAATATTGTAGGCAGAGACGGGCTACAACTTCTGGATCCATTTTATATAAATCGTTTTATTGATTATCGTCTTATGAAGGATAACTTTGACGTACACGAGCGACCGGTACCGGCTGCTGTCACCTGTTGTGAGCAGCGCTCTGCTGTCTGAGGGTAGGCCCCGCCCACAACGCCGTGGCTACTGCGGTGTTTTCTTTACTGTGGGAAACGGGTAATAATGGCTCTTTGATGGGAACAGGTTGCCGACCCCTATATATATATGTATACATATATCCATGGCCTATATACATATATATATATATATCCATGGTCGAGACATAGAAGGGGGTGCGCGGCTAAATAAGTTTGGGAACTACTGATTTAAGGCAATCGGCTAAAGACACTTTAAAGGCCTTCATTGTCTTCTTTGAAATGTCAGTCTTAAAGCTCTGTGTAATAAAAAAAATCAATACAATGAAAAATGTTTGGACTTTTTTAAATTCTTTCTTCACTGAATGTCCACACCCAATTTGTGACTTCTGAAAAACACACATGTTCTTTATCTGCTAAACATCAGTGCGTCTCAATTTCTCCTTGTTACTTCATTTAGATCTCACTTTACCATGATTCTGGATTTTCTCCTCATTTCTAACAATTTCCTCATTGAATTTTTGATTTCTTGTGTTTGTAAAACATAAATAATTGGATTCAACATAGGAGGAAAAACAGAAGTCAGAGACAAGTTTATTATCCTAGCATTAGGATGTATTTGTGGACCAATAGTAAATGTGATTAAAATGGGGGTGAAAAAGATTGCCACCAATGAAATGTGAGCTGAGCAGGTTTTCAGTGCCTTTGCCCTTTCTTGACCTGATGCTATTTTAGACAAAGCATACCCGATACAAAAGTAACTTGATAAGATGACTAATAGAGGAATCCAAAGAATGAGAACTGGCAACAAATAACTAATAACGTCACTGGGAAAATTATCATTGCATGCCAGACCAAAGATTTGACCATGATCACAGAAATAGCTGTTAATTACCACTGAATCACAGAAAGAGAGTCTAGTGAGAAGACCAACTAGCATTAGAATAGCAATTATGACAAACAGCCAGAAAGAAGCTATCAAATTAAACATGAATCTGTTGGTAACCTTTGTCTGATAGTGCAGAGGAAACATTATAGCCACCACCTGGTCGTAGGAGAGAGCAACCAGGTTTAGAGACTGCATTGAAAGGCAGGTGTAGCAGAAAAAACAAAAAATCAAACAGTCAATGTAAGGGATGAGGAGGTGATTAAATAAAAAGATATCAATCACCTTTGGCACCAGAACAGTGTTTCCTAACAGGTCTACAAAAGCAAGGTTAAAAACTGCAATATATTTAGGAGTTCTGAGGTTATGATCCAGGTAGATCAGAACCATCACTACTGTGTTTCCAAGGACTGAAGCAATATAGACAAAACAGAGAAAAACATAGTAGTACTCTGTGTAAGGAATGCCAACAAATCCACTGATTATGAAATATGCAGGACGAATAAAGGTGATATTTCTTCCAAGAGCAGAGTTGAAAAGGTCCATGAATATGTTGATTACCTGTTATTGTGTCAAACCTCTATGAGTACCGACAGCAGTACTGCAAATGCTAGCCCTGTAGTGTCTTTTATTTACTCTTTGTCCTTCTATTTCAGTTTGTTCTGGTCTCAAGAGCTTTAGGTGTTTTTTATACCTCTATGTTGTTTGTGGTGTAATCCCATCTGTCTTTCGGCTAACATCATAAAAAAGTAACATACAATTACACTATCTTGATATGCCTAAGTCAGACTAACATGAAACGTACATGTTTATCTGTTTTTTTTTCTCTTTTCATTTCGTAATACTTTCTTCAGACAACATTAGAAAATTGTGGAAAATCTGGCATTTGTTCATTTAATCCATCAGACAAAGCACGCACACACACACACACACACACACACACACACACACACACACACACACACACACACACACACACACACACACACACATCTTTCAGTGGTTTATTGAGTAAGGCCACAATGAGAAAAATGGGGTGCTTGTCTCGTAGTCACATTAAATTTTTATTGAAACTGCGCTGAATCTGATCCGTCTTGTCTGTAGAATGACTTTAGTAAGATAACTTTCAAGAAAAGCGAATGCCTAAGTATCCTTAAAGCAACACGAAATGTAGTTTTATAACACCTTATGCTTTTGCTTTCAAATTGGTTTTAGTGGTTCTTGAGCCTTAAGCTTGAGCAGCTTCACATGGGACAACACTCTGCATCCCTCTGCTGACCAGAAAATGCACTTACAACTTTTGTGGGATAACCGTGCTTTAGAGCAACAGCTGTTCACCTGGTTGGGGTCTGAGGTGGTGTGTCGCTTTGCTCTGCGTTGGGCGGGGATGCCTGCTCATCATTACCCCAGCAGAACGGGGCTAGCTCTGGTGTCCGGGAATGGTTGTGCAATCTGTGCTGCAGTACCGGGACCAGAGTGAGTTGGGTGTGTGTGGGAAGCGTGGGAGGTTGTATGACGTACATTCTTGTTAGTCTTTAGGTTGCATGTGTATGTGTGAGCATGAGGGAGGGAGCGTGTGACTGTGTTTGTGTATGAATGTATCTGTCAGGCGGGGTCTTGGTTGGACTCCTCCCCTACCCTGGGACATCTTTTGGGTGTCTAAAGCGCTATATAAGTTCAATGCATTATTATGACTATTATTATCTTGTGGTGCTACAGCATCTTTGCCTCTCTCTGCCACTTTTTCTGCCAGTGGGTGGTGTCTTGGTCTGCCTGCATATTTGCAGCTTCTGTGTTGGGGGCAGGAAGTTTTTCCAATCTGTTGGGTCGCTGCCGGTGACTGCCTGGTGGAGTCTGGATCCCTGGGCTCTGTCGGGTCCCTGGCGGGGTTGGTCGCCCTTGGGTCCCAGGCCGCTGTGTTCCGAGCTCGGCCAGCTCAGGGGTAGTCGGCTGTGGGCGGGCCTGGGGGCTTTCCATTTTTTTTCCCGGGGCTCTGGCGGCTGCTGGTTGTGACCCTCAAGGCATTCTACTGCAGCTCTCGGCAGGGGGGTTGGGGTTTCTCCGGCGGCTGTCTTCCTGGGGTTCCTGTGCTCTGGGGGGACCCTTGGATCTCTAGAGCTTGGAACTCCTCCATCTTCCACACATCTTTGGGGGGCAGGTCTGTAGCCCCTCACAATAACTATTGGATACTCTTTTAGAAAACCTTACATATACAAATGCGTGTTTGCACGCATAATCTCACATGGTGCTTTCACGAGGATGGACTTAGGTATTTTCAACACATCACCTGAGGTGGTTGTGGTTCGTACTAAATGCACTATGAATTATTACTGTGTGTTTTTCAGCAAACATGGTTACTTTTGTATATCTTCATGATTTTGGTGCAGCAATATTTTTGTCTTGTTATATTTTTGTGTCCTTTTTTTCTCTCTCTCTCTCTCTCTTTCTGCAGGTCTAGAAGCAGATCCTTATTTTATCATTGTTTATTTTTGTGAATCTCCTCCACCACCTCTTCCTTCTCTCTCCCCCTTTCTCTTACCCTTCTGTGTCTGTGTCCATTGGTATTTAAAACAACTACAAATTTCTAATAAATTTTGAAAAGAAAGAAAAGAGTGAGCAACAGCTGTTTACTAGCTTGAGGGAGGCGAAGGAGGCTACAAAATCAAACTAATTGTGACCTGGCTTTGTTGCTACTGGACTTGTAAGTAGTTATGTTTTTAGCCAAACAGTATGGATTTTTTAATTTTGTGGCTTATTTAGTATCAGTTGGCTCATGTTAGCGTAAGCTTGCTGTTAGAGTTAGCTACAGCAGGCTGATACAAGTTTGTTTAAAACAGTTTTAATTCCACTTTAAACCAGTAGGGGGAAGAAGTAAGAAACTTATAGACCCTTTTACTGTTTGTAAACAATATGACGTCAGCGAGAATGCGCGCGCAGCTTGGCAACAGAGAATGGCGTTGTGTCAGGCTTTATCAAGCTACGCTGCGGGGTTATCACCGGCAAATCTTGAATGTTATATTATTAAACTCACTTTAACTAATGGCAACAGACTCCCGGATCCCTGTGGCATTACTGAATGGGTGGAAGATGTAGGTGCATGGCCAGATATCCAGTGGCCCGATATATATACGTTTTTAGTGGAGAGGCCCAGTAAGTACACACGTGAGAAGCTACGGGCATATAAATCGTTAGGTGCATACAACTATGTTGTCTGTGGCCACGTACAGAAAGTAAAATATCACGATATAGACTCTGAGTTTTGCGTCTTGAAGGCAGAAGTCCTTCCTAGCCAAAGACAAGGACACAAGACTGCTATGTACGAGGCTTGGGTCATAGTAAACAAACCAGAGAACTACGTCTTCACAGCCAACTGTACCTGCATGGCAGGGTAAGTATAGCACAGGTTTCGTTTTTTTAGCGTGCTCAGAGTACAATCGTGTTAATTTTAGAGAAATACAGTTTATACTAATATGCAGTGGGAAAATACAGATGAATTAGAATGAAATGTTAATTTGAAGCATGAAATAAAGCGTATACATTTATATGTAATCTTAGTACATAATTACCTTACCTTGTGTCTAAGCTCTGTTGGAACAGACAACGCTGCTGCAGACTTCAGAGCTCTGTGTCTTCTATTGATTATGTCTCTAGGTTTCTTTGTTAGAGGGACAAACCTGAAGTGTTTTAATACTTCCTTTGTGATCTAATCCCTCTGGCCTACATCTAAAAAAAAACCCAACAAACTATTATAATACGTACTGATCTGAAACCGGTTCCGTTAAGATTTTAGTAATTTTTACTTTTGTGACATTTTTGTTATGAGTTTATTCTGGCATTTTACCCCTTTTGTTTTATTTTCGTCACGCAGCAAAATGGCAGAAAAAAAAAACTAAATTTAGTGTGGCTGACAGTGACATGTGGCGAGGTTCGTGAATGGGGAGGCACTGACTGCTCTGGAGTCAGACTTACAAATACATGATGCCTAAATAGAAGATAGTATTTTAATTTTGACGTCGTAGGATCTTACATTTTATGTGTTTGTGAAGACTGTAATAGTCGGCAGTTGTATCAGAAAGAAGCACGTGTAGGAGAGAAATCTTTTTCCAAGCTTTATTCAATCCTGTGTCACAAGTAGCAGAATCGGGCATCCATCTTAACTTAATTGTCCTTCTCCAACCTACGTTCTCTTATCCTCTACTGCCCCATTGTGGTATATACAACCTTTCCACTTAAAGCAAATGCACCTCACGAACGCCAACAAAAGTATTCCATGAAGGTGATATTTCTCCAAGAGCAAAGTTAAATAGGTCCATTATGATCTCTTAGCCAACCTGGTGTGTCTAAGCTCTGTTGTTACTGTCACACCCTGTCCTGTCTCCCCATTCTGTTCAGTCCTGTGTCCATGTTAATTGCTCCCACCTGCCTCTCGTCTCCCAATCACCCAAGGTCCCAGCTCCTCCTGTATTTAAACCCTGTTAGTCCATTTTGTCTGGTTGGTTCATCATTTCATTGTCCTGCGTGCCCTCCATTAAATCAGTGTTTTAAATGTTCCTGTCTGCCTCCCTGCCTGTTTCTTCCCCTGCACATGGATCTTCACCTCTGTCTCACTCACCGGCGCGTGCTGACAGAATGAACCAACCCGTAAAAGGATCTAGCGGGGACATTCTCCCCTGGGAGTGCCTGCTCCAGCTCCTCTCTTCGGAACACCGGCGGGTTTCTTCTCCTCCTCAGGCTTCACCTTCGCCTCGCCACAGACGCTGTCACCAGGCTTCAGCCACGGCGTTCCTCTCCACCCTTCTGGATCCGGATCAGAGGTTGGACCGGGAGACGCTCCCGGATCGCTCCAGCTTCATGGGCACCAGACTGGCTGTGTGCTTCCCCGGAGCTGGCCCACGGCGTGGGGAAGGAAGCCAGGCTCCACCGCAATCCTGTGTCCCAGGACGAAGCCGCGATCTCGCCGCTGCCCCGGCTCTGCGCACCTGCTTGGACCCGCCCCCAGTAAGACCAACAGTCCCGTCTCCGGTCCAATCCGTGCCTCCGTCATCTGCAGGCGGAGGAACCACGCCCACAGCTCAGCTGACAGAGCTCGCAGATCTGCAGGCGGAGCTTGGCCGAATCCGTCAGCTCGTCAGCCTCAAGGAGTCCCACCTGGACAACCTGTCCTCCCCGAATCACCAGGAGAGGGTTTCAGTCCAGCCAGCAGCTTCCTCGTCTCAGAGCCAGAGGAGCAAGCCTGCAGTCCACCCAGCAGAGCTCGCCGGTCTCCGAGCTGAGCTGGCCTAACTCCATCAGAGCCTCAGTCTCCAGGAGCTCCAACTGGACACTCTATCCTCCCTCCTCTCCCAGTTTCCAGCACCACCAGTTCAATCGCATCCAGTTCCAGCCACTTCCAGTCCCGTGGTCGACGCCTCTTCCAGTCCTGTGGTCGACGCCTTTTCCAGTCCTGTGGATGACGCCTCTTCCAGTCCTGTGGATGACGCCTCTTCCAGTCCTGTGGTCGACGTCTCTTCCAGTCGTGTGGTCGACACCTCTTCCAGTCCTGTGGT